TATGACTTTGACATACAGTACATTTTCACAAACTAACTAAAAAAATAGGTACGCAGTGTGTATATGTGGCAAGCCAGATAAAGAGAGTTAGAAATTTCATCCCAAAAACTAAAAGCACTGCAAAATGCAAACAAATACATGTATTATGCAAATTAAATATTTGAATAACAATAGAACCGATTAACCTCCAGTAATATATTTTTATATCACTGTAAAATCAGTGAAAAACATGTCTGTATGTGTGTTTGAATTGTTGGATTTTAATAATATAATATTCTAATTACGTTTCTTGGTTTCTTGGTAAAAAGGTTTCTTGTGGAAACGCCATTTCCACATTTTTTGTGGTGTTTGCACAAAACGAAAGCTTTATGTACTATTTAACTCTTTCTCGACAACCGGCCCGGTTTCGCATTACATAACGATTCAATTTTTCTAATGTAAATATCTCGGCGAGTATTTAATTACCCCCCTTCTAAACGAAAACCACCATTGAACTCCTCACAAAATAACCTTTCGAACGGGGGTCAAATGCCGTCAAAACATTACACAAACCGAAACAATCGTATATTTACTCACCGCTTGGCCAAACATTTATTCACGCGCTTTCGTGTAGAAAGTTTCGTTTGAATATAGACTGCGAGCGGTCCCTCCTTTCCGCGGGTTTAGATTTCCGGGCATGCGAAAGGAAAGGAGGGACTGCAGACAACACATCAAGAAATGAAATCCGCGTTGCCCACACAACGCAAAATTCCCATTGGTCGAAATCGATACGCCTGTCAATCAAATCTGATATGTAGTAATTATGCTATAAATAATTTCCAGAGTGAATGTTGATTTTATACAGGGTGTGTCAAAATAAAAGTAATCGAACTTCAGCGCGCTATTGTGTCTGAATTACTGTGTATTCATCTTCGCAAAGATCAGGCTTTTAGCTGTTGAATGATATGTTCTTTATGCCAAATGGATAAAAAATAAGCAAGTACGAGTCCGATAAAAAATGCTAGTCAGAATAGCATATTTTCACCGTTGTATTCGGTACTTCTTAAGATGATGAATTTCACTTAAGTAGGAATAAATCTTATCTAAGCTACGACAAGTTCGTGATTAATTGCTTTTTCTTTTGTTATGCACTGCGTTATTAAATTAGGCACAGAGGTAAAAATATGCGATTCTGACTAACATTTTTTATCGGACTCGTACTTACTTATTTTTTATTCACTTGGCACGAAAAACATGTTATTCAACAGCTAAAAGCCTGATCTTTTCGAATATGAAAAAAATTTGTTCATACGCCGAGTAATTCAGGTACAATAGCACGCTGAAGTTCGATTACCTTTTTTTATACACCCTGTAAATAAACATGACATTAACGGTTCCTATTGGATAGATTTAATTGGATACAAGTAATGTTTATGCAAAGGCGGAGCCAATTTGACAAGAGCGAAAAGTGGGCGTATTTCGTTTCTTGATGTGTTGTCGGCGGTCCCTCCTTTCTCCGAGGGACTACTCGCGGTCTATTTGAATACGGCGAGTACAAATATTACAAACGTCCCATTGTTTTGAGATTTTCCCCGAGTCAACGGCGCGGAGCGCCGTTCCGTTCGTCAGCCCGGGGCGAGGGTACTAATTCCGCCCGGCTATTTACACCCGGGGAATGGGAAGCATTAGCGAAGTCTAAAGTTCATCAATGATCGCGGGCGTGGGTGACCAACGGTGGGTGGTCATCCTCACTGATCTCAAAAATATGGCTGTTTGCCAGGAGTGGGATAAGCCAGATTTTAATTTTCAAAAGCATATATTTGGAAAATCACGTTTCACACAATGAGCTTTGAAGCAATTTTTGTTTGAAGAAATGAGAACAATTGGGCAAGTTTGCTTTGAATGTTTAATGTTTATGAATTTTGTTGCTTTAATTTAATATTGCGTAAAACATGCACTGCTTTCCTTGCTAAATTAGCCTGTTTAATTTAATAAAAAAGGTAAAATGTAAAGGAGAGCAAATTATTTGAAAACCTACCTGAAATTACTCAGGAATTTGAACTTATTTTGTTTTATTATTAGTAAAACAGTTTATCGGAAAAAGCAGTTTATATATAGTTTATATTAAAATCATAAATGAACATTTCAAAACATTTTACAAAGTGATTCAGGTTAAATTCTACATTAAATCAAAGCTCACAAAATGCAGAACAACATACCTACAGTACATATTTCGGAAATTCATTGTTACATAGTTAAAAGCAATAATCTTTCAACTATTTTTGCTGTGTTGTACAAAAAATATAATAAAAACACTGGTATACATTAAAATTATCGTGTTGCCATGGCAACACTGACGGAAACGCGAGCCTACGTTCAGTGTTGATCAATTATTAATACTTCATGTTAAAATGTATGTATTATTTATAATAAAGGAAGTTAATGTCGAGGAGATGCTCGCAGCATAGTTGCTTGCCGGGAGTTGACCACCGGGTATTGTTACCCCCTAATACTAGAAATAGCCTTGCCTTTGCCGGCCAGTTGATAACTGGTCGTTCGCTTCGCCGCTGCAACACGCTTGTTTATCTCGCTCCTCAATTATCCACGGTAAAGATTTCTTTTAGGACGACGTTATGTCGTTTCCTGGAGGGTTTACTCCTTCGCCTTCGACGACATCTAGTTCTTCTAGCATAAACACAACAATCGTGGCATCGTCCACGCCACAACTCGTCGCTTCGACGATCGCATCGACTGCTCCAGTTCTGTCGTCGCATTTAGCAGCTTCGAGTTTTGTTGTCATCGCCGATATTGCCACCGAGAATGGTAGCTCCTTCGTTGGTTCCTGCGGCGGCTTCGGCGTTTTCTGATGGTGTTGCCAGCTGTGCCTTCGTCCGTGTTTGCAACGATGTTTAATCCACAACGTTTCCCTCCACAGCAAGCTCTGGGGCCATCGGTTGCTTCTAGTGTCGGCGACACTACCCTACCGAGTGTTTCTCAGTGGCCTCCATTCCCTAAAGCGCTAGTCCCACAGTTGGCGACGGTTCCTGCAGGACAAGGAACAAATTTTTTTCCACGTACGCTATCTTTGTTTTTAGCCAGTACCCGGTCGCCGGTACCAGGGTATCTATTCCGAGGGCGCGTTTCCCCGGTTTTGGTTTCGTGGCCCCTGGTTCCTCCGCGTATCTCCCTGCAGCTCTTCCCTCGGTTGTTGTGGGGCTCGGTATCCCACCCGTCATTTCGAAATTAGTTGCTACGATTGTTTCGGAGGTGTTTACCGCTTTCGCGTGTCTGTTGGAGGCCCACGCCGTCGCTGATGCGCCCTCGTTTTCCTTCGTAGCCGATCAGCTGGTGATTCGCCCTGCCAAACGGCGTAAAGAGATAACCGATATTCTCGTGACCGGCAGGTTAGGAGGTCCAGATTTTCGGACGTTTCGTTCCTGTCTGAGACTGTTGATGTTTTTTTGTGGTGCCAATTAATTGACTTTGCGATTCTGAGTTATTTAATTTCATGTTACTCAGTCTAATTAGCATGTTCTAACGATTAATAACAGTATTGTTCCAAGTTAATTAGCATTATTGTGGCGAATCAATTAGCATTATTTTTGTTCCGAATTCTTTACCGCTATTTAGTGGCACTATTCTTTTTCAGGGCGTTTGCGTGCCTTTTGTGTTTTGTTTTTGTTTGTTTTGGTTTTTAGGGGTGGGGGCTCCCTTGTGTGTCCTGTCCTAGTTTTCGCATTGGGGCTGTGACGTCCGCGGCTACCGCTGGTATTCCTGATCAATTAATTCAATCGTTGGGTCGTTGGACGAGTCAGGCATACCTCAGATACATCCGTACCGCACCGGACATGTTTCTAAGTATTGCCCCGCTGCTGTAGGGT